GTCGGTTTGCATGTAGACTTGCATTGGATAGCTCGCCGCAGCCACAGCGGGACACAAGCGAGACACCGCGGCCCGGCCACACGAGGATTTCGGGACACCAGCGGGACACCAGCGGGACACCGCGTGCCACCGGCCGCCGGAGGAGAGTCATTTGGTCCGGCCGCGGCCCGGCCACAGGAGGATTTCGGGACACCAGCGGGACACCAGCGGGACACCGCGGGCCACCGGCCGCCGGAGGAGAATCATTAAGTCCGGCCGCGGCCCAGCCACAAGAGGATTTCCTCTCGCCCGCCCACGCAGTTTCGCTTTGCCCGCGCGCACGCACCCACGGCACGCACGACACGAATCCGAAACCGAAATCGATTGCCCGGTAGGGGGGGTCTCCGTTTCACGTCGGACTCACCCCCCAACTTCCGACCCCTACCATTTTACACACCATTTTACATCCGACGCGTCCAGTGTCCTCATCCCCTCAACCTGAAAACGCGCACCACCAGGCAGCCCAAAACCCCGTCGGGGGAGTGAGCTGCGGCGATAATTGGGACCGCAAAAAGAGAGGAGCGGAGAAGAACGGGAGGAGGAGGAGGGAGGAAAAGGGAAAGCAGGAGGAGGGAGGAGAAGGGAGAAAGGAACAGGGGAAGTGCGCAGTCCCACCACAGCCTACCCCCTCCCCAGGGGGGGCAGCCACGCAGGGGATGAGGAGGACCCGTATTCCGACGAGCGACCGCGAGGAGATTTGTGCACTTGCTCGTCCTTCTCCCCCTCTCCTTGTGGCAATGATGGCATGCCCGCTGTCACAGTGAATACATACCTTGTAGTGGGTTTCAACCTTGTGCTCCCGAACGCGCATCTACGGATGTGATGGAACCTGGCCCGAGACTACCCCTGGAACATCATCGAGTTGGGGAGGAGGCAGGAGGAGCTAGCGTGAGGGAGGGATCCAAGTCTGCTCGGATGCTCCATGTTTCCTGTTACTCCATACTTGTAGCACAAGTGGAGCAGGCAGATGGTCGCCCTCAGCATCCCGTTGCCAATCCTACGTAGGCTGAGCCAGTTCGTTGTCGGTCAACGCGAGGGCCCCCAAGGAGTGGGCCGGGCTCCTGTTGGCCCAGGGGGGTCAGGAACATCTGTAGCGACGCGAAACCTAGCCGCACACCAGGTCTCGCAAGGGTGGGCTCAGCGAGCAATGCCGCAACCTGTCCTTCTCTGGTTTGGTGGGCTCACTTGGCCACGGTGTCGGGCCCAGAGAGATCGCCATGAGTCCCATGGTTGATTCAACAGTGCCGTTTTTAATACATGCTCCGCGTGCGGATCATGCATTAATAATGTAGGGATCTAGTATCAAAAACAACGATGAGTTCATGCACAAATATATTCATAATTTAGTCATGGATTAAAATCCTATATGTCTAACAAGTCTTTTGTAGCAGATACTGCCCTGTATGCGCAGACAGGGTGGTGGTTCTGACGAGAGCCTCCTGCGGATCTCCAGGCCTCCTGCGGCCAGAGATCAAGCGAAGAAAAAAAGTGTCGAGTCAGTCGGTCCTGGGGACCGCTTCCTGTCTATGCACAGTCTGGCGGTGCCTCGCTCAAGGGAAGGGTCGATTAAGACAGGCCTCTGCCTGACGTGGACCTGCTGTTCCCAGCAGCAGGTGGAAGCAGAGTTCCGCAAACTTGTATAGCAGGCTTGTGAGCGTAATTGTCACGAGGGTAAGAAGCACTATTATCTTATCCCGTCACAAAGGGCCGTTCCCGATCTTCGTGCAGGTCAGGCCATCTGCCTTCCCTTGCAAGCCGTACATCGCTGCAAGTGTTTGTGAAACCTACCACCATCATGATACTGGGCGCAGCACGCCTGGCAAATGGTAGTTGAGACCCTTGTCTGCAGTGACTGCTCGTGAATGCGCATCTTGCCTCTGTGGGTAGACAGCGCACGCTCGGTCCGGTTGGGAAACCACCTTCGTGGCAGACAGACCAGCCAAGACGGGGAGGAGGATGAGGCGGGGGCGCAAGTCGGTCAGGTCAAGTTCCCTAAGCGCCGAGTCGAATCGATTCGTTTCGAAGTGCCTGGCGGCGTAACGCTCTGTCCTTTACGCATCGTTGACCAGCAGGCCTCTGAATGCACAGGTGGAGGTCCTGATCATTCTGACCCAAGCTTTGAACCTCCCATCCTCCAAAATCTTGTTAATAAGTGCGAATTCGATGACCCACTTAAGTCTTCCTCAAGCAAGGCCAGCCACTGCTTGTGGTGACCGATGAGGTGGTCGTTTGCCACCCGTAGCATTGGTGGTGCACAGTGTTTCTGTTTGCATGTGGTATGCCCCGGAGCTAGAAATTTGATTCTTCTCATTGTTAGCCAACTGCAGCTCTAAATCTGCACGGTAGATACGCGGCGTGTGGTGAGTTTGCAGCTTGACCACCATCTTGCCAGACATGCCGCCCCACTTGGCCGCATCAAACAGCAAGCGGGGAGCTAAAAAGGCTTTCACAATTTGGACAGTGAGCGGCTTGGGGAGATTACTTCTCCTGGCTACCTGGCGATAGTCCTTACACCCGCTCCTATGCTTGATGATATGCTCGTCATGGCAGCTGCCCTACTACCGCTGTCCAAGATAATGCCTCCTAGAATGCTCTGGAATCTCCTCGCTGGCGCATCGATCCCAACTTGTCGTCCTCCCCCCCTTCTCCTCCTCGGCAGTTCGCCCGCCTCCTCCTCCTCCTCCTACTGTTCCTCCTCCTCCTGCACCCCCTCGTCCACCCTCATCCCTCTCCCCCTCCCTCTCTCCCTCTCTTGGTCCGCTCCTCGGCAAGGAGACCGAGCAGGCTTGGGAGGAAAGGATTCGGCTAGTATTCTAGTGTCGGTGTGGGAGCTTTTGTTGCTCTGCAGTCGTGGCGTAGTTTTGAGGCCCAATTTCAAAAAGCTCGGAGGCTCGAGAGGGCCAAGAGGCCTCTCCCTGCTCGGAGTTGTCACATCCTCGTCCCCCGAGGTGGGAGTTTTCGATGTAGCATGTGCCTCCGACCCTTGGGACCAGAGACCACCTCAGAGTTTGCGTCGCCTGATCCCACCATGCTTGATCTTCTGAGAGGGGGCGTGGTGGGGAGATGCACCATTTGCTCTGGGCCAGGGTGGTGAAGTCTGATGTCCATCTCCCGAACAGTTTATGCGTCGCCTGTGGAGGGTCTTTCTCTTGCAAGGCGAGCTCGGGTCTGCGCTGAATTCTGGCAAGCTCCCTCACAAGTCATCGGAGCGGACTGAGCTCCACAGGGGGGCCCTCCCGGGGACGAAACACAGGTTGGTCCAAGCCTTTCCTCCTGTCCCCTTTCCTCACGTCCCTTTTTCCTTCCGTCCTCCCTTTTTCCCCTTTCCTCTCTTCCTTCCCGCCTTTCCCTTTTCCTCCTTTTCCTTTCCCCTTTCCCTTCCCCTTTCCTCCAAGCCTTTCCTCCTTTCCCCTTTCTTGTCCCCTTTCCCCAAGCCTTTCCTCCTTTCCCCTTTCCTCTCTTCCCTTTTCCTCTCTTCCCTTCTCCTCTCTGCCCCTTTCCTCGCTTCCCTTCTTCCTTCTGTCCTCCCCTCCTGCCTCGTCCTCTTGCCCCTCCGGCCACGACCGAGCACCTGGGACTACATTCTGCAGTCGGGCGTCGTCCGTTCAACGAAATGGCCAGGCGCGCTGCAGGTCGGGCGAGGTCTCCGAGGTCGCGTGTGTGGCGGAGGGAGGCTCGGAGGAGTCTTGGCAGGGTCTGGCAGGCCGGGGGGATACCCCAGATTTCGTAATAAAGGGAGGAGGATCTCATTTCGGGGGGGGGGTCTCTTCCAGGCTATCTTGGAGGGCTTGGGGGTCTGGGGACGATGGTTTGGAGGGTTCTTCCACGGGGGAGGTCTGAAATGGCTCGTCTTGGAGGGTCCAGACCCCCTCCCTTTTATTACGAAATCTGGAGTACCCCACATCTTGCCAAGGCGATCAGCGAACTGCCCTTTTTTCTGTGTTCGAGATGGCGCTGCGGCTGCAACGTTGCCCCCAAATCAGCTTCCTTGGGTGGCATTTGGAAGGGGACCTGGCTATTCGACGACGTGGTTTCAACATGTGTTTTGTTATTTGACGATTCGGCCATCAGGGGCCTGTCAGTGGGCCCCTGGGCCGTTGCACATGGATCTGGGACAAAAGCTACCCCCAGGGAGGGGGGCGGGATCTCTGGTGCCGGCGACAGCGATTTAGTTTCCGCCCCCCCTCGCCTCCTCCTTCTCCTCCTCCTCCTCCTCCTCCTCCCTCCTCCTCCCCCCCCCTCCTCCCTCCTCCTCCCTTCCTCCTCCTCCTCCTCCTCCTCCTCCTCCTCCTCCGCCTCCGCCTCCTCCTCCTCCGTCCTCTCCTGCTCCTCCTTCTCCTCTTTCTCCTCCTTCTCCTCCTCGTCCTCCTCCTCCTCCTCCTCCTCCTCCTCCTCCTCCTCCTCCTCCTCCTCCTCTAGGCACGCTCCCGTCACCCACCCCGCACACTCCACCCTCCATGCTTTATGTCTCCCCCCCCCTTTGAGAGCAGGCAGCGCACTGCCGCCGCCACCACTGGGGGGGGGATTCGGGATTAGCGGGTGTGCGGGCTACGGGCGTGCAAGTGGATGAGCGGGTGTGCGGGCTGCGGGTGTGCACGACGTCCCGCGAGAGCGCCCGAAACGACCATCACCCCTGACCTGGGAGAATGAACAATGACGTACACAACAGATTCGGAGGTCCGCGCGGATGTCTTGGATCCGCGCTGGACCCCCCTCCTTGGCGCGCGGAGCGCGCCAGGGGCGGCGCTGGAGGCGCCGCCAGGGGGGTCCAGCGCGGATCCGAGAACTGCCCGCGGACCTTCGAGTTGTTATGTTTATGTCATGCTTCGTTCCCCTACGGCTACCCTCTGCCTCCATACTCCAGGTGGTGGTGGTGGTGGTGGTGGTGGTGGTGGTGGTGGTGGTGGTGGTGTTCTCCCCCCCCCTCCCCTGTCCCTTTTCTTTTCGCGCGGCCCGCCGAGGACGTCGGCCTGCTCACCTCCGCGAGCGGCCTGGTGCTCGGCATCTTGGAGCAGGAGCGGAGGGGGGTCGGGTTTCTCTGGCGGCAGCAGTGGCGTCATTCCAGCGAGCTTAGGGGCCGTCTGCATCGTCCAGGGCGCTGAGGGCGACGAGGAGGAGGAGGAGGAAGACAAGGGAGGAGGAGCAGGAGGAGGAGAAGGAGGAGGAGGAGGAAGAGGAGGAGGGGAAGGAGGAGGGAAATGAGGATGTGGAGGAGGAGGAGGAGGTGGAGGAGGAGGAGGAGGAGGAGGAGAAGCAGGAGGAAGAGGAGGAGGAATAATGCACCGAGGAGTGCAAGCGCGCGTCGCGCTCCTCCCGCCCCTCTCCCCCTCCCACGGACGACGGACGGCGGCAGCCACCCTCCGACGCCGATCCTGGCGGAGCCCAGCCTGGACCCAGGAGCGGTATCACGACGCCGGCCCCTGTCTGGGCCACGAGGGGGGCACCGCTCCTTGGCGCAAGCGCGAATGCGTCGCGCATCCCCGCCAGCCCATCCATGAACAATGCCCAGGGGAGCTGCCCTTCTCGGGAGGCGTGGCATTCTCGGGACACCTCGGGGAGCCTCCCTTGGGCCAGGGGCCACACTGGTGGGTCTCTTGGGGGCCTGACGGAGGCCCCACAGGGTGGGGGGGCCTTTGGGGGCCCCTCGGGGGGCCGCTGGGGTGCCCTTTGGGGGCCACTTGGAGGCCTTGTCGGGGCATTCAGGGACCTCTTGAGCGCCTCTTGGGGCACTCTTGGGGCTTTCTTGGGTGATCGTCGGGCCGTGTTGAGGCCCATGATGACCAGTGGCAACATCCTTTTCGGACGGGCCCATCATGTGTTGCGTCAGCCTCGCCTCCGACAGCCGCCAGCAGGCGCGGCGCGCATCGGAAGCCCGCAACCTCGCACTAGACACTGGGCGCCAGAGCCGAACACCAGCACCCTCAGCCCCACTGGTGACCGGCCACGAAGAGAAAGAGGGTGAAGGGTAGGCAAACGGGAGGAGGAGTCGAAGAGGACAAGGAGGAGGAGGAGGAGGAGGAGGAGGAGGAGGAGGAGGAGAAGGAGGGCGAGGGGGGAGTGGAGGAGAAGTAGGAGGATTACGAGGAAGAGGAAGAAAAGGAGGAGGAGGAGGAGGAGGAGGAAGAGGAGGAGGAGGAGGAAGAAGATAAGGTGGAGGAGGATAAGGAGGAGGAGGAGGAGGAGGAAAAGGAGAAGGAGGAGGAGAAGGAGGAGGAAGAGTTGGACGAGGAGGAGGGGAGGAGGAAGGGGAGGCAAGGACGAGGAAGAGGAGGCGAGGATGAGGTAGCAAGGAGGAGAAGGAGGAGGAGGAGAAGAAAGACGAACATAATGAGGAGGACGAGGAGGAAGTGGTGAGCGAGAAGGACGAGGCTGAGAAAGAGGAGGAGGAGGAGTAGGAGGAGGAGGATGAGGATTTGAATCAGGACGAGGATGAGCACGAGGAGGAGGAGGAGGACGGAGAGAAGAGGATAACAAGGAGGAGCACGAGGAGGAGGGAGGAGGAGGAGGAAGAGACGGAGAAGGAGGAGGTGGCATGGAGGATGAAGAGGAGGGAGAAGGAGGATGAAAAGGATGAGGTGGTGGCAAGCAGGAAGGGAAAGGAAGTGGGTACGAAAATTGGCGCGTGCCGCTGGTGAAGTCCGGGGCACCCTGCGCACTGGCGCAATCCGGCGCCAGGAGAGGCCGCAGCGATCAGCTACGTGAGTTGATTCGCCAGCCTATCCCCGCTACCCCCTCCATCTCACGTCCGACTTGATTCCCCTGGCGGGGTGCACGTCTGCAGCACGTGCAGTCCAGTTGTTGCGGGGCTTGGTAGGGGGCCTCGTTTAGGGCCTCTTGGAGGCCTCATGTGGGGTTCTGGGGGCCTCTTGGGAGCTCTCTGTGGCTTCCTGGGGCCTCCTGGGAGCGTTTTGGGGTTGCCTTGGGGCGAACTACGTCTGACTTGATCATCCTTCCCCGCAGCACGCTCCGCCTCCTCCCGTCCCTCCTCCGCCCACTCCTTATCCCCCGTCGCCACGGGGGAAGGGGTCCTGAAGGAAACGGGTCCTGAGATTTTTCTATCGTTTTGTGGTTTTCGCGGCCCACCGCGGGCCCCAGGACCGTTAGGATGAAAAAGTCGGCCTGGGGGAAGGCCCCAGGGTCCAGGACACGTTTCCCTCAGGACCCGCTTCCCTCATGCGAAGATGTGGGATACATGCAGGATTGGGAGAAGGGGGGACGGCGGAGGAGGGGCTGGGAGGAGAAGGAGAGAGGTCGTGGCTGGCAAAAGGAGGGAGGCCGATGAGGCAGCGAGTCACCGAGCCTGCTTGTTGTTGCCTCCGCTTGCTCACGCCGAGGAGGGCGCCTCGGGGTAGACAGCAGCTGGCGGAGGCCGCGCGAATCTGGGCATCGGATCGGCGCGGGGGCCCCCGCGGCGGAGCCTCCCGCGCGGACCTCCGAGGGCTGCTTTTTTTCGTGCGCGCGTGCCTCCCCCTGCCACAGGGGACCTTCCCGGCCGCCGAGTGGCTCGAGATCGTGCCCGCGGTGGTGCACGCCCTGTCGCAGCTCGTGCAGGACGGGAGCGCCCTGGCGAGGAGGCCGACGAGGGCAGATGTGTAGGACTCGTGTCTCGTATCGCCCCCGCTTCGGTCACCGATCCCCCCGGAGAGGAGGGCCTGGGAGGTTCGGAGAGGGTGGGGAGGAGCGAAAGAGAAGCACGAGCAACAGGATGAGGAGGACGCAGAGGAGGAGGAGGCAGACGGGGGGAAGGATGCTGATGAGGAGGGGGCAGGGGGAGGGGTCCAAGAGGAGAAGGAGGAGGAGAAGGAGGATGAAGAGGACATTTGAAACAAAAAGTCCAGCGGGGAGCGAGGGGCGAGGCGCGAGAAGGAGGCAGGAGAAGGAGGAACGAGGTGGTGGAGGAGAAACGAGGATGAGGAGTAATCATAATGCACGGAGGAGGCGGAGGAGGAGGAGGAGGAGGAGGAGGAGGAGGAGGAGGAGCTGCAGCAGCAGCAGGGACAGGAGGGGAGGAGGAGTCGGAAAAGGGGGAGAGGCAGAGGATGAGCACGGAGGAGGAACAAGGAGGAACGATGCGGATGACGATTGAGCAGCAGAAGGAGAAGGAGACAACCATGACGACGACGACGAGGACGACGACGGCGACGACGACGACGACGACGACGACGACGACGACGACGACGACGACGGCGGCGGCGGCGGCGGCGGCGGCGGCGGCGGCGGCGGCGGTGGCGGCACTCGGTAACGGCGGCGGGTCCGCGGGCCGCGCCCAGGGCGAATGCCCAGAGCACTACGTCTATCGAGGGCGCCTCCCGGCGGGGCGCCGCCGCCCCACCCCCACTCTGGCCCGCCCGCGGCCCGGCCGCCGCCGGCATGCCCCCCCCCCCGCCCCTTCTCCGGCCGCGCCCGGGGGGAAAGGGGGGAGGGAGGGGGGAGAGGGAGGGAGGGGAAGGGGAGGAGGGAGAGGGGGGGGGGAGGGGGGAGGGGAGGGGAGGGGAGGGGGGCGAGAGGAGAGGAGAGGAGGGAGAGGAAGAGGAGGAGGAGGAGGAGGAGGAGGAGGAGCAAGAGGAGGTGGAGGAGGCCGAGGAGGACAACGAGGAGGACAACGAGGAGGACACGGAGAACGAGGAGGAGAACGAGAGGAGGAGGAGCGAGATGGTGGACCAGGTCGGATCTTCGTCCGGGGACGAGGGGGAACACGATGACGAGGAGGACGAGGAGCGCGGATCCTCGTCGCACGACACGGGGGGGGAGGTGGAGCAGGCGGCGGGGCACACCGTCCGCCCCCGCTCCTGGCAGCCCAGGCTGAGCAGGCCGGCGGGGCGCGGCGAGCCGCGGCAGCGGAGGGTGCAGATGCCGGGCAGCGCACGGTGGACGTGCACGGGTCGGGCCCCGTTCGGGGCTCGCAGACGAGGGGTTGTCCCAAGGAGGAGGAGGAGGAGGAGGAGGAGGAGGAGGAGGAGGAGGAGGAGGAGGAGGAGGGCGGTCATGGAGGAAACCCAGCTGGATGCTCACACCTGCCGCTTCCAGGGGCCGTTCCGAGCGACGTTCCCCCCCAAAACCCCACCCGTGCCCCTGCCTTCACCCCACCTGTGCGTCACCCCGACCCGCGGGCGTACACTCGTGGAACAACAAAAATGGCGTGCACATGACATCTGGGACGTCCGCGCGGATTCCTCGGATCGGCGCCGGGGCGCCCTGGCGTCGCCTCCAGCGCCGCCTCTGGCGCGCTCCGCGCGCCAGGGAGGGGGGGCTTCCAGCGTCGATCCGACAAATCCCTGCGGACTTGGTAGTCCAGATTTCGTAGTAAAGGGAGGGGGGTCTCATTTCGGGGGGGGTCTCTTCCAGGCTATCTTGGAGGGCCTGGGGAGTTCTGGGGACGATGTTTGGGAGGGTTCTCCCACGGGGGGGTCTAAGACTTCTCGTCTGGGAGGGTTGAGACCCCCTCCCTTTTATTACGAAATCTGGAGTAGTCTGTGTGCGTCGTCAGTGTCTGTTCCCCCCTGCACAGGTCGGGCTCCAGGGGCGTACCCGAGGGTCCTCCAGGAGGTGAGGCGACCACACCGTGAGTTGAGTCGTGGGGGATCCCCGGTGGCCGCACGGTCTTTGGACTCGGGTCGTTCTCCGAGGGTCTCTCGGGCGGTTTGGGCCTCCAGGGTCCCACAGGGGTGCAGTGACGGACCATGCGGTCAGGTCTTGCGGGATTCCGGCATCACCCCGCGGTCCGTCGCCGCACCGCGTTGGGCCCCAGACCACCCAGAGGAGTTGCGCTCGGGCGGGCCAGCCGCTCTCACGCGAGCGCGCAGATGCGCCCGCGCGCCCGTGCGCGCGTGATGGGCTCGCGCTTGCACCCATGAGCGCGCGCACTTCCTGGCTCGCTGCTTCATCCTGCGCTGGGTCCTGGAGTTCGGAGTCGGAGCCGTGGCACGTAGCGCCCGTTCAACCGCCACTTTTCCATTGCACTCTTCTCGTGCCAGGGTCTAGTTGTAACGCCTTTCGGCTCCTGGCAGGCGGGGTCGGCGGATTACCATGTGCCCTGCCCGTGGCTTCAGACGAAGCTGTTTCGCATTCTGCAGTTCTTCCCTGTGGAGGTCTTGAACCAGGAAATGCTCGGCAAGATCCGGCACATTCTCCATATGATTCTCGTCAAGCCGGCAGGCCCTGCGGGGGTGGGGGTCAAGAGGGAAAAAACACAAAGACCCACTTCAACGTCGATTCCCCAGAAAGCATAGGGAAACATGGGAAGTGGAGGGGAAGACGAAAGGCTAGAAACTAATTGGAAACATATGGAGGATCAGGGTTTTCGTGTGTGTGTACATTTGTGTGTGTGTCCCTGGGCCCCTTCCAGGAGAGTCTGCCATGGAGGCCGAGAGGGAGCTGGCCCAGGGTCAAGTCGGGCGTGTCCCTCTACAGGAGGCATGTCCGAATATAGCAAACAATAGTCTGGGGGGACGAGTTTTCGATTATGCTTCGCGTATGTTTGATAATGTGCGCGCTCGTTGTGCAGGTGCGAACCGGCTTGCCAACGTGGCGGTTGTGTTCGCAAAGTCGCATTGTGCCGCCTGCCCCGGACGATTTTGCCCCTCGCCGCCAGACCGTGGTCGCGCGGCCGCAGACCAAAAAACGTATGTCTGCTAAGTTGTTGGATGTTTGTTTATCTGTCGCCCAAAGTCCGCCTGTAGGGGGACACGCCCGACCTATGGACCAGGGAAGCCAAGACCGCGCCTATGGGGATGGGGGTCGTTGAAGCGATGGTCATCGTCTCCCCCCCCCCCCTGAGCCAGTCCCCCCCCTCTTCATGGGGGTGTGGAAGAGGGAGGGGAGGAGGAGGAGGAGGAGGAGGAGGAGGAGGAGGAGGAGGAGGAGGAGGAGGATGCGAGGAGGAGGGAGGAGAGGAGGAGAGGAGGAGGAGGAGGAGGAGGAGGAGGAAGGAGGAGGGGGGAGGAGAGGGGGATGGCGGAGGAGGAGGGATGGCGGAGGAGGAGGAGGGGGATGAGGGGATGAGGGGGATGAGGAGGAGGAGGAGGAGGAGGAGGAGGAGGAGGAGGAGGAGGAGGAGGTAGGAGGAGGAGAGGGGGAGGGGGAGGGGAGGGGGAGGGGAGGGGGAGGGGGAGGGGAGGGGAGGGGGAGGAGGGAGGAGGAGGAGGAGGAGGAGGAGAGGAGGAGGAGAGGGGAGGAGAGGAGGAGGAGGAGGAGGAGAGGAGGGGGACATGCCCGACCTAAGGCCAGGGGGTGGGGGGAAGCATCGACCCGCAGCCGCCCCCCCGTCGCGCGCCGATTCGGGGCCCGCGACCCCCCCCCCGCGCCGCCCCGGGGGGCCGCGAGGTGCCGCCACCAGGGCGGCGCGCCGCCGAGTGCAGACAGGGTGTCAGGGTAGCGTAGCTGCCAGTCGTGTCGCTTGCAGTGGAGACCCCTGCCCAGAAACAGGGGGAGGAGGAGGAGGAGGAGGGAGGAGGGGAGGAGGAGGAGGACGAGGAGGACGAGGAGGACGAGGACGAGGACGAGACGAGGACGAGGACGAGGACGGGAGGAGGAGGAGGAGGAGGAGGAGAGGAGGAGGCCGAGGAGGACGAGGAGGAGGAGAACGAGGAGGACGAGGAGAGGAGGGGAGGAGGAGGAGGAGGAGGAGGGGACGAGGAGGAGGAGGACGAGGAGGACACGAGGGAGGACGAGGAGGATGGAGGAGGAGGAGGAGGAGGAGGAGGAGGAGGAGGAGGAGGAGGAGGAGGAGGAGGAGGAGGAGGAGGAGGGGGTCGGTTTCTGTATCTTGACATCGTTTTTGGCCTCCCCGGCCGTGGACGAACCGCTCCAAGACGAACAAAAGTGATCCCCGCTCGAAGTTGTCGACAGGTACGGGCAGCCCGCATGCAAGAAATCAAAGAAACAGTGGGGACCCATGCCAAGAAGCACCCTGTTTGCCTCCGGGGTGCCCTGGGTTTCCTGGGCTTCGAGGGTTTTTTTGCGATGGGAAGCGTGACGTTCCCACAGCAGGAACCACTGGACTTTCTTGGGTCTCAGGGTTGGGTTTTTATAGAAGGTCTTTGGCGGACCGACCTGCGCTGCACTAACCGACCATTATCCCCATTCCCATCCCTATCCGGACCTCAACATTTCGGCACCCCAGTTGGGGATAGACGTACGTCGGGCGCGTCCCTCTACAGGCCACCTATCCAAACATAGTTTAAACAAAAATAGCCTGGGACGATTTATCTATTAATTTGATTATGTTTGAGCATTTTTTGGTTACTTGTGTCATCCAAAGCCCGCCTGTAGGAGGACACGCCCGACCTACGGATAGACCCGTCGACGCCCGGAGGGAACAGCCTACATCCCCATCCAGAGGTGCAAATCGACCAGGGAAGCCAAGACCGCGCCTACGGGGATGGGGGTCGTTGAGAAATGGTCATCGTCTCCCCCCCCCCTGAGCCAGTCCCCCCCCTCTTCATGGGGGTGTAGAAGAGGAAGGGGAGGAGGAGGAGGAGGAGGAGGAGGAGGAGGAGGAGGGGAGGGGAGGAGGATGGGGAGAGGAGGAGGGGAGGGGAGGAGGAGGGAGGAGGAGGGGAGGAGGAGGAGGAGGAGGAGGAGGAGGAGGAGGAGGAGGAGGAGGAGGAGGAGGAGGAGGATAACAATGATATGAAGAGTGATAATTAGAATGCGAGCGCTTGTAATAGTTATACGGAGAAGACGAAGACGAACCAGATCAGAAGATTGCTACGAAGAAGATGAAGGAGAAGAAAAACAAGAAGGAGGAGGAGGAGGAGAAGCAGGAGGAGGAGGGAGGTGGCAGACCCGAGGCCAGCGGCCGCCCCTGCAGAACTCGGTCGGCAAGGTGAAGCGCGGCAAGGCCGACGCGGAGCGCCAGAACCGCTCCAACGCGGAGCATGCCGTTCTTTTCGAGGCTCCCCCTTTCCCCGGCCTGCGGCAGGGCTCGGTCCGATTCCTCCTGCTCGGTTCAAGTTGCCTTCGATGGCGTCCGTTTCCGATTCGTTTCGACTTGGGATTTCGATCCGGGTTTTTGATCTCTCATTGGAGGCACACTGCCCCGCCGTTTTCCGCTGATTCGACTCATGTCGATTGCCGATCCGACTCATCGATTCGATTCCAGGCTATCCGGCCTACGGCAGGTTCGCGTCGCGTCGACTCGGCGGCGATTGGTCGGTATCGGTCCGCCCGGTATTTGCCCGTGAGGGACCATGTCGATCCCGTCGCATCGGTATCGGTATATCGATTTCGGCAGGCCCGATCCGATCCGGGCTGGATTAGCCTGGTCCCGGCAGGAGGGTAGAGAACAATGTCATGCAAGAAGGAGGTGGGACCTCTTGGGGCCTCTCGGGGGCCGCTTGTGAGCCTCTTTGAGGCGTCTTGGCAGCCTCTTGGGGCCGCTTGGGCGCCTCTGGGGGGCCCTCTTGGGGCCCTGTTGTGGCTCTAGAGGCTTCTTCGGAACATCTTAGAAGATATCGATCAAAGAGAGGGTGCACTCAATTAGCGTCCCCCCTCTGGAGCCCCTATCGTCTCCTCTTGGGGCCCTCCTGGGGCGCTTTGGGTGCCGTCTTGGGGCCATATTGGGTATCCTTTGGGAGTCTCCTTGGCCACGTTGAGCCATCATGGGGCCTCTTGGAGGTATCTTGGAAGTCATCGTGAGCAACTTTGGACCACATTGCGACATCTTGGAGGCCAGCTCAAAGAGTCTGGGCCCACCTTGGAGCCCCCATGGGCCAAAAGCCTCCGACGGATATCCCCGAAAAGCCGAAATCGTTGAACATCCGTGTGGCTTTCAAAAGTTTTGTTGATCAAAAGCGGAGGGGTCTATTTGGGTCCCCCCTTTGGAGGCCCCCGAAGGTGCCCCGTGGGGCCATCCCGGGGCGCTCTAGAGGCCGTCGTGGGGCCACATTGGGCCTTCTTGAAGCCCTCGGCAGCGAAAGGGCCAGAGGGTCGACATCATAGATGTTCCACCGTTTTTTGAAGGATGCTGGCCTCTTGGGGGGCCCTCCATGGGGGTCCTCCTCCTCCTCCTCCTCCTCCTCCTCCTCCTCCTCCCTCCTCCTCCTCCTCCGTCCTCCTCCTCCTCCTCCTCTTCCTCCTCCTCTCCGAGCCACTTGGACCCGCGAGAGTGTGTGGCGAGCTGCCTTCGAGTCGAGCAGCTTGGGCCATCTTGGGGGGTCAGCCCGGGCTCTCGGAGGTCCTCTGGGAGCCGTCGTGGGCCATCTTGCGCGCCCGAACGGCCCGGGACCGAGGAGGAGGAGGAAGAGGAGGAGGAGGAGGAGGAGGAGGAGGAGGAGGAGGAGAAGTAGGACCAGGAGTCAGAGGAGGCGGAGGAGGAGGAGGAGGACCCCCCCGTACGGGTCCAGGGGTAGGGTGCAGGGAGAGGGATCGGGGAGGAGGCAACCGCTCCCCGAAGGGGAAGAGTCGGGCGATCGCAAGCATGGATCAATGGGGGCGTGGAAGAGCGACGGGTCCCGTTTCCATAGGGGCATCGCTGATTTCCGCCGCCGAACGAGGCTGCGCTGGCCGCATTTTGGGGAGGGCACCTCTCCCGATCCATGTCTTTGGCGACCGCGCGCCAAATCCATGGATCGCTAATCCGTGTTTGCGTGCCCCCGAAGGAGGTGTGTTGGAAGAGGAAACGCCCTAAACCCCCTCGGGGGCTGGTGGGAGTTGGTTGCAAGGCGCCACATGTCAGGTCGCATTCCCCCATCAAGGACCCTTCTTGGGGCCGTCAGTGAGGGCTCTTGGGCCGCGCTGAAGGTCTTGTGGGCCGTCTTGGACCGACATTCGGGGCCTCTTGGGCCGTCCTGGACGCTCCCAATACAGAACAACCTAGAACGTTCTAAACCGAGGCCAGAGTTGTTTTAGTGGTCTGGGCATCGCGGGCTTGCCCCCCGGGGCCTGCAAGGCAGCCCAAGAGGCTCCCAAGGGGGCTTCAGGACGGACCTTCCGGCACAACCGCAGGTGACGTTGGAGGTTGATGCTTCCACTCGTGGAAAAGACATACGGGGAAGCCCGAGAGCGCTCGAGGGGAAGAGCGTTTGGCCCTCTACAGGGTACTTGCAGAATTCACGGATGCTTGCCACCCAGGCAGAGCGGGGTGTAGCCACACAAGCCCGTGGGCATCAGTAGGAATCCAAGCGGCCATGGGGAAGTGTGCCGCACAGGTCCAGCGGAATTGGGGAGCCGTCAGAATCCACGGGAACCCATCGGAATCGAATTAGCCATCTGAAAATGCAGTTCATTGGATCAGCGGACAGGGCAGTCGCCACTCACAGGCGCACACAGGAATCCGAGCGGCCACAGGAGGAATGGGTTGCCTACAGAGCCAGCTACTGCGAACATTTGTCAAACCCTCAGCGTAAATATTGTGTGTATGTGTGTTGTGTGTGCGGGGGACTGTGGAATTTGTAGTGTTCGGAAAGGAGCAGGAACCCGCCCTCCTCAGGCCTCACCCTCATCCTCGGTACCCTGTTGTTGCTCTCTCTTCCTTTCCTTGTATTCACATATCATAATCAGCATGCCCCTCGTTGAATTGCTCCTCCGCGTCCCACTCTGTCTTATCCCTCCTCTCATTCATCCCTCGTCCCTCTTTCCCCTCCTCGTTCTTCCGTTCTCATCCTCCTCTCGTTTTCTCTCCGCCGTCTGCTTCTCTTTTTCCGTGCTCGTGCTGGCCATCCAGCTCCACATCATTTGCTGATCTTCCCCTTTCCCCCTCCTCCGTCCTATTCCCCTTCGTCCTTCTCACTCTCCGCATCCAGTCCTCATCTTCCACCCCCCTGTTCCATCTTTGTTTGGACTCTCCCCGCCGTGCTTCGACGCCCGCTTTCCCTTCCGCCGCTGGCACGGGAGGCGATGAACCTCATGATCCATTTGGAGGACAAGTGCGACCCACAGGAGCGCGCGGGCGCCAGGGGTCTCTCGCGCTCTGGTGCAGGCGGCCCTGAGCTGGCTGCGCAGGGAAAGGTTCTGGGCCGCGAACACGGAGAGCGAGGAGGAGGGGGCGGGGCCGAAAGGCAACAGTGCCTCCCTCGTTGTGCTGGCCTTCCCGGGCCCGCCCGCCTGAGGCCGATGGCTTGGGTGTGACGCGGACCCCGTGGTCGGATCCGACGCGGCCCGTGGGGGGCGGCTATCCTGGCCCAGGATTGCCCCCCCCGCGGGCCAGGACAAGGATGCGAGCGGGTCTCGGAGCTTGTTCGAGGGTGGTGTCGACTCATTCCCTGAGCTTCGCTCGGGAAGCCTTTCCTCCCTCGTCTCGGGTGAGTCCTTCCTGACCTCTGTGCTGAAGGGAGTCGAGGAGGGCAAGGAGTAGGAGGGTAGGAGAAGGATGATAATCAGGATGATGATGATGATGACCTCGATGTGCGTGTTTGTGTGCTTGTGTGTATGTGCGTGTTTGTGTGACGAGTTTGGGCAGGAGGGGGATGGAGGAGTGGGATGAGTGGTCAATCTATGGCCGGGATGTCATATGTACAGAAGCGCGAATGCGCACATGCGCATTGTCTGCCTCCATTTTTACATCACATAAACGGCTGTTGTGTTGTGTTTGAGCTGGATTGGGGGAGCGAGCATCGGCAGTCACAGGTAATTAATAGAAGGATGTGAGAAGGGGATGTGAGGGTGAGAGGGGTCGTAATGATACCACGAGTAGGAGGCGGATCATGATGTGAGGGTCGTGAGGAGCGGGATGATTTTGAAGGGCAACAAGATCGCCCATCTGGACATGCCATGAACGCTTGTCCTCCCATCCCTCTTAGTTCCACCACTTCCCCCCGTCTCTGCTGGCCCGCCGCCTTCCCTGCCCAGCTCATCTCGATGGCCGCCGGGCTGCTGGGCAATTTTACCCAGTCGACGGACCCGAACATCCGATACCTCGGCCTCGAAACCATGGCCAGGCTGGCCACGAATGCCGGAACGCAGGACGCCCGGGGGGGGGGGCCAGCAAGGCATCGGGCTGGTCGGGGAGGAGGACAGACCGCTTCGGGGTGTGAGCGCTCTCGGAGCGTTCCTGGCTGCTCTGCGATGGAGGGCGGCCAAGAGGGGGGCGGCGACTGAGGGGAGGGATCGCATGGCGGGGGCCATGAGGTCTCCCCGGATGTCATTCCGCCTCGCCGTATTGCGTGGCGTCCCCCCTCTCCTCATTTCAGTTCGTCCCGGGTCCCCCACCCTGGGCCGCGCACATGCCGCCGGCAATGATCTGCGCCCCCCTCTCAGAGGGCGCCCCCCTCGTGGGCGCCCCCGGGGGAAAAGCGGCCGCGGCGCGCGGCGCGTCCCGAGGGCCGGGTGGGTCTTCACGCGGGCATGGTCTCGCCCTGACGCCGTCCTGTGTTTAAGTCGGGCTGGAAAATTGTCCCCAGACTATTTTTGGATTATTTGTTGATTTTTTTGGGGGTACTTTTTATTTTTCTTCGAAAATCCCCCTGTAGGGGGACACGCCCGACATAAGTCTACAGGCCTAGAGGTTCACACCAACACCGATGTCGGCGGTGTGCATCCGCCGTGGGAAGACGCTTTTTTAACTGCCGTTCCTTTTGGGCTCTTGTGTCTGTGAGTCCTGTCTGTGAGTAGATTGCGAGGGAGTCTCAGGCGGGAGCCTCGTCTGTGAGTAGAGTGCGAGGGAGTCTCAGGCGGGAGCCTTCTCCCTATGGGGCCCGCACTTCATGTTCGAATCCCGGGCAGGTCATCGGCCTCTTGTCACCGTCATCACATTTGGGCTCTTGGGGCCTGAATATGGAGGAAGTATAAGGCGGGAACCTCGTCTGTGAGTGAAAGGCGAGGAAGTCTCAGGCGGGAGACCCCTGTCGATGGGGCCCGCACCCCACGTGTTTTCTCCGGGTCGTCCTCTGCGGAGCGCTGCCTCTGGGTCGTCTTCCGGCGCGTAGCCGCTGGGACGCACGTCGTGCGTTTCCTCTAGGTCGTGTTCCTCACGAGGAGGAGGACGAGGAGGAGGAGGATGCAGGACGAGAAAGTACAGGAGGAAGAGGAGGAGGAGGAGGAGGCAGAGGGGGAACAGGACGAAGAGGAGGAGGAGGAGGAGGAGGCGAAGGAGGAATGCCCCAGGAGGCCCAGAAGGCTCAAGATGTCCCAAGAGGCCCCAGGAGGAGGCAGGAGGCCTAAGGAGGAGGCAGGAGTTGGCAGGAGGAGGAAAAGGAAGAGGAGGAGGAGGAGGAGGAAGAGGAGGAGGAGGAGGAGGAGGAGGAGGAGGAGGAGGAGGAGGGGGAGGAAGATGGAGACGAGGAGGAGGAGGCGGAGGAGGGAAAGGGGAGAGGAGGAGGAGGAGGAGAAAGAAGAGGAGGAGAAAGATGAGGAGGAGGAGGAGGAGGAGAATGAGAAAGAGGAAGGAGAGGGAGGGGGGGAAACGGAGGAGGAGGAAAAGGAGGATGCGGAGGTGGTGGAGGAGGCAAGAGGAGGAGACGGCAGGGGTCGAGGCAGGAGGAGGAGCAGGCAGGAGGAGAAGGATGAGGCAGGAGTAGGTGGGAGAAGGGTGGGGGCAGGAGGAGATCCCCAGGACAGATTCTCATGTGGGGTCCCACCGTCGGAGTAATTGCTTACGTTTCGTGGCCCAGCTCGTTACCCCTTCACAGCCAGGCACAGAGCAGTTCGATTGACAGGCCTCACGCTACGAATCAGTTTGTAACTCCGTACAAACGGATACCAATTGCCTCCTACACATGAGGAGTCACCACAGAGGGTTTCGATTCGTACATCCGCACTAAGATCTCTGTCTCTCCCCATCCTGTTCGCTCTCCCCATGTCTCGTCCTCCCTATATCATGCCCCTTCGTCCTCCTCCTCCTCTTCACCGCTCCGTATCCTTTCTCCCTCCATGTCTTCGTCCTCTTCGTCGTCGTTCTCCTCAGCTCCCTCCCACCCATTATTTGATCCATGTCGGTCCAAGTTTTTGTGGTGTTAGGGTGGGTGAAGCAGCAGGTCGTGGTACGGCGGTTGTCGCGGTGAATTTGATGACGATGATGGTTGCTGTGGTCCGTTCGGCAGTGGTCAATACGATGGTGACCATTGGTGGCTCATCAGGCGGTGACGATCGCGACCATGATCGCGATGATGATCACGGCACCGGTGAGGACGGGTGCGATGGCGTTACGGATGGCGGTGGCGACGCGCGTTGGCCCAGGCGGGGATGGCGATAGCCGGCGGGGGGGGTGGCAGTGATTGTGTGTGGCGTTGGTGGGCCAGGGTGGTGAGGTGAGATAGATCATGATGATTGTAGTGTTGGTCCGAGTGGTCGCGGCGGTGAGGTCAATGAGGCACGTGATGTTTTGACGAGTGTTGTACAACGTATGATGTCGGTGGCTGGGGAGGTAAAGACAAAGCAACTGTGTCGAGATCTGTCCAAATCCCGAGGTGGCTTTGGGGGTGGCAGCGGGCGGAATCGCAGTGATAGTGCAGATGGCATGAGTGGTGCCGCCTGTGACAAGGATGTTCACTGCCACCACCACACAGACTAGAATCGCCACAAATCTGCATCTTGAGTACTACCGCTGGACAACCTATAATCGTCGCCTCCAGGACACAGTCTAGACGGTTACCGTCGCCGACATCAACACAACCTTCGGTACCAACCATCGCCTCTCTTGTTGACCGTGGCATCTACAAGACCAGGCATGATCGCGACCATTACGGCTACCTTTTGATATTGTACCGCCGTCGCAAACCCAATATAGTTCGTAATACATTTCCCGAGTGTTTGTCCATTTTTTCGGATTGCGTTGAGCTGCCCCATCTCGTCTGCCACCGCCACCACCGCTGACGCCTGTGTCGCAATCAACACGACCCCCTTCATCATTATTATGGCCATGGCATTGTTGATGATGATGGGTGCAGTTGTGGTGGTAATGATCATGGTGGTCTCGGTGTTGGTGGAGACGGTGGTGGCGGTTCTGGTGACAACGGTGACGGAAGTAGCATTGTTGTGTGAGGATGGTAGTGTTGATGGTGTTGATGGCGGTGTTTGTCCGATGATGTTGTTTGTGATGTTGATGGCGATGATGGCTCTGTGGCTCTGGTAACCAAGCGGGTAGTTGTGATTGTGGCAGCGATGACGGCGGCGATGTTCTGGGCCGAGTGGTGATTGTGCTGTTGGTTCCGGCGGGACGGTTTGCGGCAAATGCGATGAAAAGGGGCGGTACAAATCATGATGATAACAGCCTTTTACTCGTCCCTCCTCGCACCACCACTTGTAGCATCGAGCTGCTTGCCACCTGGCCAAACCCCGCCACCACCATTGCCATTGTCTCCATTACCTGGACCACCGCCATGCTCATCACCACCCACAAGAGGTGGATGTGGTGCACGGTTGTAAAAATCACGTTGGTGATCGCACCGAATTCGCCCCACCCCCAACCATTATCAACGCAATTACATCAGTGCCACCTGGTCCGCCACCGGCACCGCCATTTTACCAAAATCCTCATCGTCTGCACCGCGTCCAGCACTTGTGACATCGCCACAACCACCACCAGTCCAGCAACGACCGCCACCACACGCATCATCATGATCACTTCCGGTATTGTTTGCGCAAGCAGACGCATCGCGGTCTCCACATTACCAGCACCACCACGTGGACCACAGCCGTGACCATCACCACCCACCATATCGCCATCACCATTTTGACAGCCACCTGATCCACCAACGTCGCCATTATCTCAAGTGTAGACGCCGCCCCCACCACAGAGATCATTACCAACGCCATCATCAGTGCCACGACCACCTTCCGACAAACCATCGCTACCACTATTAGCGGCATGCTCGTGGCGGCCGCGCGACGGCGCCCCCGTTGGCGCCGTCGCGCGTGCTTCTCCGGGGGCATCCCCAGAGGCTCTCTCGCTGCCCCCATGTCTTTGTTCAGGAGGGGGAAAAACACACAGACACAATTCATCGTCGATCCCCCAGAAAATATGGGAAAATATGGGAAGTGGGGGGGAGACAACAACACATAAAATATGGGGAAAAATGGGGAACCTTTTTATTTGTGTGGATTTATTTGTGTGTCCCAGGGCCCTTTCACTTATGCCGGTGCAGGCACACCGATTCCCTGCGGTCTCTCTTCGGCCTTCTGGCGCCTCCGGGCTGCCTGGCGACGAGGCGTCCGCGGGGCTCCGCTGGGCCACCGCTCGCCCGTGCCCTCAGCTCTCCCCGAGGCTAGGATCCACTAATGGTGTTTTTTCCTTCTCTTTTTGATGCTTGTTCGTTTTTCCCTACCTAGGCTCTGCCTAGAAGGGTTCTTACTCTCTTTGCTTAAAGGGGCCGGGCAGCGCTACACGCCCCGGGCGGTTCCCCCAGTCCCCGCCCCGCGGTTCCCCCAGTCCCCTGGGAGCTTTAGCCTTAGCTTTAGCTTTAGCTTAGCTTTAGCTTTAGCTTTAGCTTAGCTTTAGCTTAGCTTTGGCTTAGCTTTAGCTTAGCTTTAGCTTAGCGTTAGCTTAGCTTCAGCTTAGTGTTAGCTTAGCTTTAGCTTAGCTTTAGCTTAGCTTCAGCTTAGCTTTAGCTTAGCTGTAGCTCAGCTGTAGCTTAGCTTTAGATTTGCCTTAGCTTAGATTTAGCTTAGCTTCAGCTTAGCTTTAGCTTAGACTTAGCCTAGCTTTAGCTTAGCTTTAGCTTAGCTGAAGCTTAGCTTTAGCTTAGCTTACCTTAGTTTTAGCTTTAGATTTAGCTTATATTTAGCTTAGCTTTAGCTTAGCTTCAGCTTAGCTTTAGCTTAGGCTTTTTAGCTTAGCTTTAGCTTAGCTTTCGCTTAGCTTCAGCTTAGCTTTAGCTTAGCGTTAGCTTAGCTTGAGCTTAGTTTCACTTTAGCTTCAGCTTAGCTTTAGCTTAGCTTTAGCTTTAGCTTTAGTTTATCGTCATCTTAGTTTTAGCTTAGCTTTAGCTTAGCTTTAGCTTATTTTCAGCTTAGCTGTAGCTCAGCTT